CTTTTATTTTTTGACAACCCTACTTTTTCTTATTTATAGAAATTTTTTTATTTACTTGTTTCCATACTTTTTATTCAATTTGTTAATTATTGTTATATTTATATCAGTATTATGTTTATTGATATTAATTAACTAGGTTTAAAAATCCATTACAGAATATTTAATAAAACTTCTGCAAGATATTAATTTTTGGCTACTTGTGCATACACAAAATAAACATACCACATCTAGAAACTTGAAAATTTGAAATAATAATGAAATTCATAGCTAATAACTAATTATTTATGTGACGTAATATCCTGTTTTGGTTAATAATCTTTAATAACCATGCCTGATTTCCCGCTCAACTGCACTTTGTCAAGTTTGTCACTGAGCAGTACAGTCCTTACTTTAAAGTTTAGACCTTAGTCAATTTGCAATCAGGCATCAGACTACTTTTCAATATCTGTTATTCATACTTTGCAAGCAAAAAGTCAGTTTATCCAACCTCTAGCTTATACACTATATATACTTGTATGTATCTTTTTCATAGTATGAGTAGGTCACCAAGCCCAGATCCGGATAGGAGAGAGGAAGATCCCATTCTGCCTCCTGGAGGAGATCCGGCAATCCCTCCTGGAGGAGCTCCAGCAATCCCTCCTGGAGGAGCTCCGGCAATCCCTCCTGGAGGGGCTCCAGCAATCCCTCCTGGAGGAGCTCCGGCAATCCCTCCTGGAGGGGCTCCGCCAGTCCCTCTTGGAGGTGCACCCGTAGTCCCTCCTGGAGCGGCTCTGGGAGTCCCTCTTGGAGGTGCACCCGTTGTCCCTCCTGGAGGGGCTCCAGCAGTCCCTCCTGCAGGTGCACCTGTAGTCCCTCCTGCAGGGGCTCCAGCAGTCCCTCCTGCTCCAGCACTGCCTTTGCTGCACCAGCAAAGGCAGCTCATTATTGCCCAATTGAGGGCTGTCAATAGACAAATTGTAAGTCTTTACTATGATGTACTAAATTATATTCCATAATAGTATCTCAATCTACCAAGAAGACCTGGCAGGGGCAGGGGTAGGGGAAGGAGGCCAAGACCCCAAGTTGGAACAAAAAATTATAACTTTTATTAACAACATGTATCATAACTTTATTATAATAATAGATGTAGACATAATAATAAAATAATCAAAATGTCAATAAAAAATGCACCAGCGTTAAGCCAAGATTAAAATACATTAGCAATGCACAGTGTTTGACAAGACAAAAATGCTCCAATGCTTTAGTTTCTATTAATATTCCTAGAAGAAAAATACACATTATTATCATAATGCATGATTTAAGAAATAAATAATACCTAAGTAGCCATTAACGTGGACATATTGATTATGTACATGAACATGCACAGTGTTGTCATTCATAATCTACAAAAAAATAAAGACAAACATCTTTTAATTTGCTTACTAATTCTATACTGAATTAAGATTTTTTTATGAGACTTGCATTGAGCAAATTCATATAAATATAGAACACATGAATACTTTCCAATGTGCAAACAATTGTTGTTTGTTAATGAGAACATGCATGCACATAATATTATTATAATAAACTAACAATCATCAACGAAAGATACGCTGGCAAACAATAACTTATAGTGAGAGTACTTACTGTGGCCATGCTTATAATGACATACCCATCAAACGAATATAGATGTAACCTTGAATCATACCCTATAACAAAATACATAAGATACTTTGGAATCTCACAATATTTAATCTTACTACATATTCCATTCCTTAGACTACAGTAATGTAAAACCTATGCAGGCACCTCCTGCAGTGTGATAAAAGTACTCATCAAGGACCTACAATAAAACATTAAGTTCCATTTAATAATGAAATAAATTTAGTTACAACAATCGAAATCCAGAACTGCCTTTAATTATTATTGCACATTACAATATCAAGCAATGAAAATATTGCTGAATCATCAAATCCTTTCCAGCTGTCATTACCTGTAAAGCATAGTAACATAAACACATCAAATGCAAGCAAAGTAAACACTTGGGCTAATAATAACAATAGTACAAACAGTAATGGTGAACAAACTTTATTACCAATCACATGGAACTTTTGTATTCCTTGTAACTCCATTATAGTACATATGTACTTACAACAATATTTTTTTGTTAATGTGAACATGCACATATTTACAACAATCATCAACAAAAGATGCGCAACATCAGCTGGCAAGCATTTAATATGCGCACAGCATTGATGGCAGCATCATTCAAATGCGCAACATCAGCCGGCAGGCATTAACTTAATAATGCGCACAGCATTGATGGCAGCATTATGCGCAACATCAGCTGGCAAGCATTTACATATATGTAATGCGCACAGCATTGATGGCAGCATTGACATGTATGATGATCATTAATATATGTACCAAATCACTGTTTGAATGATACTACATGTATAATGAGAACTTTAATTGTTACTCTAAATTTTTCTTGTCCTTCAAAATTTGTCAGCAGCGCCCTTGATCCATAAGCACCTGATATTTGTTATAAACATGTAGTACAAGCCACAAACAAGATCGGGAATTGATAATGACAGCTTCCTCCCTTCCTAACCCTCTGTCCTACATAAATGATAGTCACACAAAATTGAATCAATGCTAAACTCTAATGAACAGTAAACCTCTTTCACACCCTCTCCCTGTCCATTATAGCAACAAGTACTCAATATTCACTGTTATACATTGATTAATCTCACATCCTGAATGCAGTTTGATCACTTTATACTGAGCAATAATGGGTGGATATGCACCACTGGTTTTCACACACACTCACATTGCACATGCAGTGAAATATAAGTCACATTAAACAACCAATGTTTTAAAGATGATGGACCTCCCATTCACCATACCCACTTTCCATCAACAATCGATGCTTTAAGAAATATTAATAGACTTAACTGCTTGGAAATGATTAGTACCAACATGCTTCAAATACAAAGCAGGTGTAGTAGTATCACAAGGAATGCCATACAACTCCTGGGTTCCATATCTAGCCCAGCCAACAAAAGTAGGAGTGAGTGAATATGAATATATGGTTATACCTAATAATGCTGTTAGTGTAATAATCTCTGTGTCAGTGGCCCACACATAATTTCTATACATTTTTGACTTATTTATGTAATCATATATGCTTGAATATCTGGTTGCACTTAATGTACTATTAAACAATTCTTCTTCAAAGTTTGGCATATTACTAACAATTGCTCTACGTAATTCATAATGCTGAGAAATGGACCCAGTAATGAGATATGAAAGGGCATAAAATAAACAGTTCCCATCACCAGGGACATCAAGAGTACTATTAGGAACTCTTTCATCTGACAGTGGTGTTGTTGGACTACCAGGTAAGATTCTAGCAGCTGCTACAAACTTAAGGTTCAATATCTCACACCACCTTCTTTGAACTTCTTCATTAGCAGGGTAATAAACATAATCCCTTTGTCTCCTCCTTACATTATCTGGGTTGGGAGGCTCTTCATAAGTAAAGATGACATCATCATCTTTTTTTGGATTACTTGTCTTTAATTTAATGCTTGAGAGTTTTATAGATACAATCAGACAACTACTACAATCGTCACTTTTTACAACACACTTTGTTTTATCATCTTTCGGTTTACATTTAATGTTTGAGAGTTTTATAGATACAATGAGACTACTACAACTATCATCATCTTTGACATTAAATTTGGTTTTTAGGTCTTTCAAATTAATTGAAACAATTAATTTATCATCTTTTTTTGAGCGAGGCAATGCCAAAGCACTATTGTCAGTACTACTGTCTACATCAACTTTTCTTTTTTGGGTGCAAGGCTTATTTAAAGCATTATTGTCACATATTTTACTCTTTTTGGGGCGATTAGACTTTTGTAAATCAGTACTCTTACGTTTATTGCTACTAACAGTACTATTACTAGTACTTTGTACATGACTTACAGACACCTTGGCATTCTTACTACAAGGTTCACCATCATCAATTATACCAGTCACTTGAATCTTTCTCTTCTTTCCTTTACTTTTCTTGATTTGAGGTAAGTCTTTTCGAAATTTACTTCTCAGCCTGTTAATTTCATTAATGCACAGATTACTAACTTTAACAGAGAGAGGATCAAATGATAATAAATGTAAGCCATTTAATGTGCGTACACGAGACAATGCAACATATGCCATACCATCCCCAAAAACATCAGTCGATAAATCAATAATGGCTGCATCTAGTGAGAGGCCCTGACATTTATGTATAGTAATAGCATAAGAAAGTATGAGGGGAAACTGTTTCCTATGTATATACAAATTCTTAGATAGCATAAATCTAGATGTAACCCTTTCTATGTCACAAGGTACATCAGTATGATCAAATTTGATTGATATACGTGTAGCATAAATACCCATTACTGTACCAATGGCACCATTAACTAATCCAACAGTCACATCAATATTACGTCTTAGCATTACTCTACAGCCTACTGCTAAAGACAATACAGTTTCTAAACCAGCTGTTTTGCTTGGTTGATCTTTTAGTTTATCTAATTTTTTTTCTTGTTTTTTGTCAAATTTTGCTGTGCTGCCACTTTCATCAACAACATCGACACATGCTAATTCTATTTTCTCAGTTTCTAGACTTTCTAACATTAATTCATTGATTTTTTGGCAGGCATCTACCTTAGAAAATAGGCAAATTGGAGGATTTGTTCCTTCACTTTCCAATTCCTTATATTTTTCTTGTATTGAAACATTAAATACACGACTTTTAAGCGTATCAATAGTATCATCAGTCAGGCAGCCATGCCTAACAGAATCAAGCATTTTAAAGAAAGTTTTGTCTCCTTTTTGTCGCTCGTTGATTGTTAGTTCATCATATTCTACTGTTTCTTTCCATATGTTAACTGCATTTGCTGCTCCAAGTCTAGTTTTTACTAGTTTGTTGCTAATTTTATTAAATACTGGTCTACCATTAACTGGTGGCAATTGTAAGAGGTCACCTACAAATAAAATATTTTTGGATCCAAACCATTCATCAGTTCCAAATATATCTTCTAAGCGCATGTGTAAGTATGCTAGATTTAGATTGGATACCATAGATACCTCGTCTACTATTATAATTTTTAAATTTTTAAGTGTCATTTTTATTCTTTTCTGAGCTTCTTTACTCAAAGCCCAATATCCAGCTGTTTTTCCCTCATGCTCTATTGGTAGCTGAAATAATC